AAAAAAACAAGGCTCTGGGAACTGATGGAATACAAATTAAAATCTTTCAATAAACTGAGGCAGCACTGGAGGCACTCACTCATCTCTGCCAAGAAATTTGGAAGACAGCTACTTAGCCAACTGATTGGAAGAGATCCATATTTGTGCCCATTCCAAAGAGAGGTGACCTGACAGAATGCTGAAACCATCAGACAACCTCATTAATATAACATGCAAGTAAAATTTTACTCAAGTTAATTAAAAAACGGTTGCAACATTACATTGACAAGGAACTGCCAGAGGTTCAAGCTGGATTCAGAATGTGGAATGAAGGGTCTCATTGTTGACGTCTGATGTTTCTTGGCTGAAAGCAGAGAATACCAGAAAGCTGTTGACCTGTGCTTTATTGATTATGCAAAGGCTTTCAACTGTGTGGATCATGACACGCTATGAACAACACTGCTCAGTATGAGTATTCCAGAACACTTAATTGTGCTTATGAGGAACTTGTATATAGATCAAGAGGCAGTCATTCTAACAGAACAAGGGGACACTGATTATGTTAAAATCAGGAAAGGTGTGCACCATGGTTGTATTCTTTCACTATCCTTATTCAATCTGTAAACTGAGCAAATAATCCCACAAAATGGATTATATGAAGAACATGGCATCAGGATTGGAGGAAGACTCATTAACCTGCGATTGCATATGATACAACTTTACTTGCTGAAAATGAAGAAGGCTTAAACTACTGATGAATCTCAAAGACCTCAGTCTTTGGTATAGAGTGCACCTCAATGTAAAGAAAACAAAAATCCTCACCACTAAGACCAATAAATAACATTATGATCAATGGGAAAAGATTAAAGCTGTCAAAATCTTTAATTTGCTTGGATCAACCATCAACACTCATGGAAGCAGCAGTCAAGAAATCAAATGATGGATTTATTGCATTAGGCAAATCTGCTACACAAGACCTCTTTAAAGTGTTGAAGAGCAAAGATGTCATTTTGAGGACTAAAGTGCGCCTGACCCAGGCCATATGGTACTTTCAATAGTCTCATAAACATGTCAAAGTTGGACAATAAGGAAGAAGACCATAGAAGAATTGATCCATTGGAGTTATGGTGTTGGGGGAGAATATTAAAGGTACCATGGACTGCCAGAAAAACCAACAAATCTGTGTTGGA